TCCGCAGGGTGCCACATTCCTCGATGCGGCCTTGCGCCCTATGATCGACCCGAAACTCGAACCTAAGCAATCCGACGCCCTTTTCCACCTTCTGGCTTCCCACCACGACATATTTGACATCGACAGCAGTCCACTCGGTCAGACTTCTCTCGTGAAGCAACGCATTAATACTTGTGATTCTCTATACCGTTCACCGCCGACCATACCGGGTGTCTGCCACAGAGCGTAAGGTAATTAAAGAAGTCAACAAGATGCTAGCCAAAGGAATTATTGAACCCTCCTCGAGCCCTTGGGCATTTCCTGTTGTGATCGTTAGAAAGAAAGATGACACGTGGCGCGTCTGAGTCGATTACCGCCATCTTAATCGAATCACGAAAAAGGACGTTTATCCTTTGCCCTGAATTGATGACGCCCTCGATTGTCTTCATGGCGCGCGGTACTTTTCTTCAATCGACCTACGTTCTGGCTATAGTCAGATTGCGGTGGACGAGAAAGACCAAGAAAAGATTGCGTTTGTAACTTTCGATGGCCTATACCAATTCAATGTGATGCCGTTTGGGCTATGCAACGCCTGAGCCACGTTTGAGCGTATGGTGGACTCACTATTACAAGGGTTCAAGTGGTCAACATGCCTGTGCTACCTGGATGATGTCTTTGTATATTCGTCTACATTTCAGACACACCTCCAGCGTTTCACAGCGGTTCTCGACATCTTCCGCACTGCTGGCCTTCAACAAAAGTCGAAACGTCACTTCGGCCGCCAGCAGATTATGGTGTTGGGCCACCTTGTCGACGCATCAGGTGTGCAGCCTGACCCGGAGAAAATTCGTGCCGTCACGAGCTTTCCTGTACCCCAGTCTGTCAAGGACGTCCGGAGCTTTGTGGGACTTTGTTCCTACTTTAGAAGGTTCGTGAAAGATTTTGCAACGATCGCTCGACCACTCACCGACCTTCTGAAAAAATACGTGACCTTTACGTGGGGTTCCGCCCAAGCTGCCGCTTTTTCTCACCTCATCACCCTTCACACGACTCCACCTGTATTGGCCCACTTTGACCCGACCGCTTTGATAGAAGTCCGAACCGATGCGAGTGGTCACGGGATTGGAGCCGTCCTATCCCAACGCCAGCGGGGACACGACTGAGTTATCGCCTACGCTAGCCGCCTAGTCACAGCTGCCGAGCGCAACTATTCAATAACAGAGCGCGAATGTATTGCCCTTGTTCGGGCAGTCACGAAGTTCTGCCCATATTTATATGGCACGAATTTTTCTGTAATAATGGACCACCATGCGATATGTTGGCTTTCGTCACTGAAGGATCCTACTGGCCGGCCCCGGCGCTGGGCTCTGCGACTGCAAGAGTAATACCTACACGGTCACGTACAAGTCCGGACGCCTATATCAGGACGCAGACTTCCTGTCCCGCTACCTGGTTGCTGAGTCCAGCACTGACACCGACACCGAGCCTTGCGTCTTTTCCCTTTCGCAAATGACGTGCATCGGTGACGAGCAGCGCCATGATGCGTCCTTGCGTGCTATCATTGAGCTCCTCAAATCACCATCTTCCCATCAGTCCCATCGCTCATTCGTGCTCCACGATGGTGTATTACACCGCCAAAGTTTTCAGCCGGATGGACCGGCCCTGCTGCTTGTCATTCCGAAACATCTTCGCTCGGAAGTGCTGCATGAACTTAATGACCTTCCGACTGCTGGTCACCTTGGTATGTCACGCGCTTACGACCGAATACGCTGACGCTTCTTTTGGTCAGGGCTTGCGCGCTCAGTCAGAAGATACATTGCAGCTTGTGAGAAATGCCAGCACCCCAAAACACCATCGACACTTCCCGCCGAATGCCTTCAACCACTTGACATTCCATCAGAACCGTTTTTCCGCGTTGGCTTGGACCTACTTGGCCCTTTCCCCTTGTCTTCCTCGGGTAACAAGTGGATAGCCATGGCCACCGACTACGCCACGCGCTATGCCATCACACGAGCTCTTCCAACAAGCTGCGCCACAGATGTCGCCGAATTCCTCCTCAAGGACGTGATTTTGCAACACGGAGCCCCACGGCAGCTGCTTACAGACCGTGGCCGCACCTTTTTGTCGAAGGTCATAGCCGACATCTTGCAGTCCGGTAAAACGGGACATAAGCTGACCACGTCATACCACCCACAAACCAATGGACTCGCGGATCGTCTAAATTGAACTCTTACAGACATGCTCGCTAAGTATGTTTCTACCAACCACAGCGACTGCAATCTCGCGTTGCCGTACGCCACATTTGCCTACAAATCTTCTCGCCATGACACTGCCGCTTACTCTCCATTTTTTTGTTGTTTGACCGAGAACCTACATTACCCCTAGATACAGTCATTCCGTCTACCGCGACACCGACCAGCGAATATGCCCTTGACGCTATCACTCGGGCTGCTCACGCACGCGAAATCGCCCGCACTCGCTTTCTGGCCTCTCAAGAGAACCAGCGGTGTTTGTACGATCAACGGTACCGTGACGTGCACTTCTTACCCGGTTCATTGGTGCTGCTGTGGTCCCCGACCCGTCAAGTCGGCTTGTCGGAAAAACTTCTTTACCGCTACACAGGTCCATATCGAGTCCTTCGTGAAGTTACTCCTGTGACATACGAAATTGCCCCTGCTGCCTCATGGCCTTCAACTGCCCCACAGACCACCGATATTGTACATGTGGCACGCTTGACGCCTCACCACTCTCCCGCTGACGTTGACACCTAGATGCGCCGAGACGACGCTTATGCAGCCGGGGATTATGTATGCTACATGCATGTTGACATTTTGTGGGATGATGCGCGTGCGTGCCTGACGAAGAGGACGGAGAGTGGTCTCCGCTCGGTGTCTGGTCTACACCGAGCGGTGTCTGGTCGCAGTACTCCCGTCCTGGCCTCAAACAGTAGATAACTACCCCGGGTATCATCATAGATCATTTCCTTGGCAATTTCCTGCTTAAAAGTTCGATAGATCTCTAGTGCGGACTTCTTAATCATGCCCATTTTCCACATGTCAGTCTTTGTTTCCTTCACTTTCTTCTTAACCGATAGTTCTTTTTGGTTTGGCCACCTGCTGTTTTCTAAGTATTTACCAGTCAATTTCCTGGTTCGCTTCCTCCATTTTGTATCGACATTCTTCATGTACAAGTAGTATGAGGCAGATTTTACGCCACCCTTCTAGATGACTGAAAGAGTGCCCCGCTGCCTAGGTAATGTATAGAACTGATTTAGCGCCCCCATCCAAGGTGGCCAGCCCCCTTCGCACCCCTCGTGTGGACGCCTATGGGTAGGACTTTCGGAGAAGCTATTTGCATTTGTAGGCGCCTTTGAAAACGCTTTATAAAAGTGCTTTAACTACAACGAGCTTCACAGTGACAGCTTGGAAAAGCTTGTTTCCTGCTTGGAAAAAAATATATATGTCACACTGGGCTGCACACAACATTGCCCGAGCCTCACCAATCTAGTAAACAAGTTTTTTCTGCTCACCAATTTGCGCTTTTACACAAAGGTACTCCACAAAAAGCGAACATTTTCCCGTGAAAAGAGGAAGTACCTGAAGCTCAGGCGCATCACCTAGGCTTGCAGCCCAATGTTCTGTGGGGCGCTTAGGAACTGATAAACTTTTTTTCTTGGCGATATAAAGGGACGTGCAACAAATTATTAAGAATGCATTTTTGTAAGCAGATAGTGAGTCACTACTCGTAAATGTGTTCTATCAGCTGTGTGCAGAAATTAAAGGAATTCATTCAGACACCACTCGTGGTTCTCGGCTCGTGATTATGAATGACGTTTTGATTGATGGGGCTTTATTTACATATTAGTGTTTGAGAAAATGATGGTTCGCCGTGAAAAGTGTCCCAAGTAATGACTCACAACTGAGTTCGTCATTCCACTCTTCTACCACTTACTTCTCATCGATAAATTGTTTCAGTACCGTTACGCGCTCACTTACGGCATCCTGTCGACCTGACGATATTTCAGATCAGTCGTGCAACCGCGTAGGCATCCTGTTTTCCAGAAGCTAATTACCATATTTTCTCGGTCGCCATTTGAGTCGATTTACGAGCAAAGAAAACATTTCAAATGTTTCACGCTGCCCGCGCGCGTGGTTGATTGCCGTCTATACGCATCGCCGCTATAAGTGACGTGCAAACGTGTGCCAGCGCCATCTGGCGGTCTCCTCCCAGGGCATTACGCGCTAGCCAGTGCGTTCATCACACTTCTCTATTCTAGCCACTGTAATGCGACAAACCTTTGTAACTACACTCGCTCTGGACAGATTTCTAAAATTTTGATGGCGTTGAATTTGTGAGGCAATAAGCTCTCCAGGTGAATTCATTCCATTGTTATTTGAAAGAATGTTCAGGGCCCCTGTAACCCATTTGTTCGACAGGCGTCACGACGAAAACGAGCCCATTCGGCGATAACAGCGCGCGCTGGTCCAATCTACTGTGTGCGTGTTTGCGTGTGTACGTGCGTATGTAACAAAGCATATGGATAGGAATGTACTTAGCGGTAGAAGGGTGCACTAGGGGCCGAATTTCACTATCGCGTTGAACTCTTAAAGGCGAAGCTTAAGGGTCCCCTAATTTTTCTGTAGCACGTGCAGGATTACGTACGGCGTCCTTGATGCATGGTCAATCAGCCGACACCACCAGCTTTCGCACTGCGGCAAGAAATGAGGTAGCGCAAATTAAGCAGTTCCTATCGTTTGGGAAAGTACTTTGGTCCGGTATACGTCCATTCGACGATCAAGAGTTCAGGCGGTGAAAGCGGCATGGGGCGTTCGTCCGCGCGTATCTTACCTATGCGAGTTCACCGATTGATCATTCTCCCGCAGTCATCTTGGATTGCACGGTGTGCCACCTAACAGCTCGTGGACATTGTGAATAACTGGCAACTATGATAAGGGAAACTGGCTACTCTGGTAGCCGGACAGGTCGGACTGAGTATAGAAAGGTCTTGTGGCGTGCTGCAGGGTCTCATCTTGGCCTTGACTGGGGTGTCACTGTTGGACCTGGTGGAGATCTACGGTTCCGACATATCGAGCGTGTCTCACCTCATTACCACCCGATGCGTCGGCGGCCTGCTGGGATCCCTGCTAGGTGCGTCGCTCTTCTTCTGTGAATACGGGTGTGGTGCTTAACATGTAATTATCAGATGAGACTTTACTCATAACGCGCGCACGCAAATGAGTTTAGACTCACCCCTGAACTACGGAAAAGTGTCAATTTAAGAGGTCGTCTCGTTTTGTTGCGATTACATGAACACGCTTGGCAAGTTTCAGCCATTGCCGCCATGTCTCCGCTTTTATATATATATATATATATATATATATATATATATATATATATACTTACTGAAGAAAATAGACAAAGAGACGCCCTATCGACTCTCGTAATCAGTTGTAATAAGCTCGTAATAAGTTCACGTGCAACGTGATGCCAAACAGGCTCATAAAAGAGGTTTTTAGTTTGACGTTTTTGTGGTCCGCTCCGCTCCGGGAGCACCCGCGAAGCCGCAGCGGAGCGGCGGCCGATTTTCCTCTTTTAGTTATTCGTTGCCAGCAGCGAAGCGCACCTTTTGCAGTTGCAGCGCCCTCTGGTCGTTTTCATCGTCGGTAAATAAGATAAAAAACTTTTTTCACGTATACAAAGCCAAACAATAACGTATAAATGATCTTTTCATGAAGTATTTAGATATCGACTTTCAATGCATTAACCGCCTATTTTTTGACAAAGAAGCAAGCTCTGACTTGATAGTAGCCACTCAAAAGCCAGCAAGGTTTCGTTCCAGATGCATTGCAAGCATTCATTGTATGTTGTTTGCACATTTACGCGTGTGTGGTGGCGGCGTTTTTATTTTTCACCGTTGAAAACTGTGTTTTCGCGGCTTGCACTGGGCAGGTGACAGCGAAGCTGCAGCACTCGCGGAGAGCGTGCCGTCTCCGGAGGAAGCCATCTTGAAATGAGCAAAGTTGCTGCACGCACGAGAGAGGGCGCGCGGGTTGTCGCCCTTCCGCTTGCAAAAACGGCAGCGACGCACCGCGCTTTGCTTAGGCTGCTCGTAAGCGGACCGTATCCCCCGCTCCGGTAACCCACTTAAGGCTTTAGCGGAGGGCGCATGCGCACTCGCGTTCCCGCTCCGCTTAGATGCTAAGCGGAGCGTAAAAACGTCAAACTAAAAACCTCAAAGGGTGTGCCACATTCGCGCCTCCATGGCTACAGGTGCCGCTGACTGACACTCCCATGTTTAAATTCAAATATAAACCCAATAAAGTGGCTGGGGGAATAGCTGCCGTGGTAGCTCAGTGATAGAGCATCGAACGCGTTATTCGAAGGCTGCAGGTTTGGTTCCTGCTCACGGCAAGTTATCTTTCACCCACTTTTCTTTCTTCCCATTTACATTACAATTGGTCTAAAGATCTCACTAATATTTATTATTGTTCCAAAACACGGGAAAACGAGCCCTTAAGTATACACTTCTTTCCCTTATATATGTAATATATATATATATATATATAATATATATATATATTATATATATATATATATATATATATATATATATATATATATATATATATATATATATATATATATATATATATATATATATATTGTAGAGAAGCCGCCGAACACTGAAATGGGTCGAACTCTCAAGTGCTTTCTAGTGGGTCTACCCAAAAAGAACGCCGCTCGCGCGGAGAGTCCGTGCTTGGCCGTTACTGTCGCCATTTTGTATACTCGCTGTGTGCCGGCTAATAAACGCCATAACAAGTTGGTGGAGAGTGCTACGATCCCCTTCGATGCCCTTGGAACTACGCTCACGTACCCTGCAATCTACCATGTCCCACGACGCCTCTCAGCAAACGCCTCCTCCCATGCCACCCCCTTGTCCCGGTGTCCCCAGGATCCGCGATCCACCCATCTTCACGGGCGCCGATGGCACTGACGTGGAGGACTGGCTTGCCATTTACGAGCGCGTGAGCGTCCCCAACAAATGGGACGAGGACGGCAAGCTGACCAACTTGGTATTCTACCTTACGGGTGTTGCCAGTTTGTGGTACAACAACAACGCGTCCGATTTTGCCACCTGGTCCGATTTTAAGACCGCAATCATCAATGTCTTCGGCCGCCCTGCTGTTCGCAAGCTGCAAGCCGAGCAGCGCATACGTGAACGTGCTCAGGAGGCTGGTGAGTCATTCACCAGCTATATGAAGACGTCCTGGACCTATGCAACAATCTAATCCCACCATGTCTGAGTCTGACAAGATGCGAAACATCATGAAAGTCATTGACGATGATGCCTTCACAATTCTGCTCGCCAAAAACCCCGGCGCAGTGGCTGAGGTCATCACATTGTGCCAGAGCTACGAGGAGCTCCGCCGGCAGCGTTCGATGACCCGACGCTCCCCACCACGAGCTGCAACGCTTGCTGGCTTGGAGGCCAGTTGTGACCAAGTGGCGTTCCTGGCAGACCTAAAGTCCTTCATTCGTGAGGAAATCGCTCGTCAGTTCTCGCTCCTGCCCTTTGCCCACCAACCGGCTGTTCAACAATTGGCTACTACCCTTCTCCCTCCCATCCGTCGAGCAATTGAACTGGAAATAGCAGAGGTAATGCCTGCGTACCCCCCCCCCCCCCCACAGCCTCCGGCTCCTGCGCCGCTGAGTTACGCGCAAGTGGTCACCAGGCCGCCCCAAGTCGTTCCAGCACCCGCTCCTCTGACCTACGCCGAAGCTGCCGCTCGACCTCCGTCCTTTGCAGCGGGTATGCCGGCTACGTATGTTGACGTAACTCCTCAGCCTCAGCTTCAGTCCACCATGCAGCCACCGTTCCGTCCATTGGCCCTTGCGACATGGGTGAGACCTACCCCGGTGAACAGATGGCACACACCCGACAACCGGTCCATCTGCTTTGCGTGCGGTTACGCTGGTCACGTGGCCCGTTATTTCCATCACGTACAGCCGGCTCCAATTCCTTCACCTGTTGCTGGCCAACTCAGCCACCCTTATCACGAAGAACCGCCGTCTATGCCACCTCGGTCTCGTCCAGGTCCATCTCGAAGATCGCCGTCTCCACGACGTCGTTCCCTGTCCCCCATGCACCCAAGGTGCGGCAGCTCATGAGCGGAAAAAACTAGTCGTCGCAGTCCCAGAGGCAATAACTGCGACGCTATCGCATTGTGAAAGCCCTCAGAGCCGCCCACCTAATGTCATTGACGTGCTTGTGAACGGTGTTCATGCATCAGCTCTTATTGACACTGGAGCTGCGGTATCAGTTATGAACGAAAAACCTTTGCCGCTTGCTTCGAAAAGTGACGATGCCGATTTCTGGGTTGTCTCTTCGTACCGCTAGCTCACATCGTATTCATCCTACAGCAGGCTGCACCGCTCGCGTTGTCGTTCAGGACGCTCTGTATGTCGCCCAATTCATCATCATTCCTGCATGCTCTCATGACGTCATCTTGGGATGGGATTTTTCTCTCCCGAAACGACGCCGTCATTCATTGTGCCGCCGCCGAAATTGAACTCTCGCCCTTCTCGCATTTGACGCCAGAAGACGGTCCCTCGACACTGAGCAAGATTCTCGGGAAAGACGATACTATAGTGCCTCCAAGCTCGACGATGGGTGTATCAGTCTACTGCACCGGTCTCTCCGACACAATTGCGCTCGTTTCGCCATCCGACCGTGCTTCCAGAAGGAAGGGTGGCTAGTACCTTCGCGACCGTGCAAATCACCCAGGGCAACGCCGCTATTTTCGTGACCAACCCGTCCCCGTACAGTGTTACCTTGTTTCGAGGGGAATGTCTCGGCAGAGTGGAACCAGTCGACGCCGCACAAGTCCTGGACGTACCCGAAGACTTGCGTTGTCCTGATTCGCGTACCATCAGTGCTGTTTTTTACTTATATATATCTATATATATATATATATATATATATATATATATATTCAAGGTCGCTGTTGCGAAGTTTGCCGAGAAAACTGGAACCGTGGCCCGTGCCGCCACCGAGCCCTTCAGCGTTAACTTTAACGTCTGACGACCGGCGCGACCGGTACGGAAGGAGGCAGAGTGCACGCTTGCGAGTAAAAGTTTCTGCCGCTGAAGAAGGCCTTTTAAATTATATGCGAATGCTTAGGTCCTTCGGTATCGCTGTGCCGTAGAGCCAAGTTTCGCCCAGCACTGTCGAGATCAAGAAAATGGGGCATTTGAACACGCTCGACGAAACCGAGGACGATGCCCTGGGGCAGTGATAGCGGCCGCCACGATGTTTCTCGATCTAAACTTTTGATCAGCGATTTCTGACTAGGCCGCCCGTAACCGGATCTGACTAGTTAAAGTACGTGCTGTTTCAGTTCAATTAACAACTACACTTTGTTTGTCCTTCAGTTTATTATGTGTAGTGTTAGCGTTATTGCACATTATGCGTATGCATTCGTGCATTCGCGAAATGCCCGCGTAATTAGCGAAGAAATTTTATATATATATATATATATATATATATATATTATATATATATATATATATATATATATATATATATATATATATATATATATATATATATATATAGTATTTCTTCGCTAATTACGCGGGAATTTTGCGACTGCATACGACATAATGTGCAATAGCGCTAACACTACAAATTATAAACAACAGACAATTATACCAAGAAAGGAATGAAAGATGTCATCAGTAGTAATTGTTATGTAGCTGTGAAAAAAGAAAAGTGTACGAAAAGATTACTTGCCGCCCGAACCTTGGAATAACGCGTCCAATGCTCTCAAGTTTGGAATGCTCCCCATATGTGCACGGGGGGATGACCGCCGGCGCATGTTGGGAGAGCATCGGAGGCATTATCTGAAGGGTTCGGTCTTTGCAGTAGCAAGTTACCTTTTGGTCCCTTTTCTTTCTTTGCATTGCAATTACTACCACGTATTTTGGGAATCGACGTTATGCGAAGCATGCGGAGAGAAGGGGACTGTGTTGTAACTTTATTATGTTATGAATGACGCCAATTATATTGTTACCACATATGTAATTTGGGTATGTGCACCTGGGTAGCGGGAAAGAGGCAGATTAGAGAAGAGGACGTTGGCTAG